TCTATAGCCCCACTGGTCTTGACAAAAGTAGCAACTCTCTTGTCTGAAAAGTCACGATTCCACTCAGAGTTAGCAAATATTACCCGGCAGAGGTGAAATCTTTAGTGTTTTCCTATGGCTCTTTGACTCTTCTATGGTAGCTTAGAGTGTCCTTGAACCAAGTCTCACACTTGAAAAGGAACATTTTGTATGAATGGTTAGCACCCTTGATAATGGTTAAATGGTATGAAAAGGAGTTGTCTGTTTATCTGCTTCCGCCAGATGGTAGCGTAAATATATCCGATAAATACAATGATGTCAAGAATTTTATGCCGAACTAGACCGGTGTACACCGATGTTGAATGACATACGCTGGTCTACGATATGCCTATGCCCGAAATGCCAGGGTTCGGGCCCGTCCTTGATGAGAGAGGATTATGTTGTCAAGACGGAGGAGCAGTTTAACTCGAAGTGATTTCATATACTAGACGGTCCACAAGAGGAACATGTAAAGCTTCAAGGAAGACGGTTAGGTGGCTCTAGAAACCTAATAGAAGTCTCGCCTCGGTCAGAGCTTCTTTCTTAGGGGTCAAAGCAAACAACAACATTCTTTCAATGCCCATAGCTTTAATTTCATCCGTGCTACCTATAATTCTCTTCAGAGATCAACTATTCCACAATTTATTGGGGTTTTTTTCTTGCTAGCTGTCGTCTCCATAAGACATCCAAAATCGATCATCCGCCCTGCCCCTTCCACTCTGGTAGTAGATGGCAGGAGCAGCTCAGCATCCAGACAGTTTGTGTTCACCCCTACCAAAATCAATCACTTCTTTCAGAGAAGCTCCTTCCAATTCCAAACCTGCCAATTTAAGGCAGTAGTTTCTTCCTTTCCCTATCTTTCACTCATCCCTTCCCTCCCAACCTTCACCCCAATCCAGCTCCCACCTTGGAAACTACATCTACCACCTTTTCGAGCAGGAAGAAGTTTTTCTCTCGAGCCTCACTCGTAAGCTAACCATTAATGGATCGAGGTCTTCTTCTTGATTACATCTTTGATCTCTGTTTGTTGATCTGCAACTGACGCATTTTCCTTTACAGCTGTTTACGCACGCGAAGGGCTTTCAGAGGCAAGTTTATTTACTCCAATATTTTCACCTTCGCCCCTCCTACTATCTCTGGTGATAACTTACTCTGCCCCAAATATCCTGTGCTCGAGATCTCACCCTTTTCAGTTGGCCCTCCTGATCTACCTCGTTGTGATTCGCGGCTGTTTACCCTTCCCGTCTTCCAACACTCCTCCCAAAGTCCGTCCTCCACCACAGAGCCACTGCTTCATCATTTTCTCGCCGCTTGATCATTAAGGACGCCTGTCCCTGTTTTCTTCTAGGCTAAGCGGCTTTGGCTCCTTGATCAATCCGATTTGGTGACCTCAAAATTAGCCAATACTGAGTGAGCCGCTTCTTTCCCTGCCCTGCCTACATAATTCGCATGCGTACCCTTGACCTTATGAGCAATGATCACATCTTCCTTATGCCGTGCCAAGTAAACAATTCTTTGTCTTTCTCTTCGAAAACCAAGATATATTAGCACACATCTTTACCAAGTTATTTCATCTGAGCTGAGAGTGTGAAACTTGTGATCACCTACTGACACTTCTCAGCATCCCAATCAAACAACAGATCCTGAACACCATGTCAGCCTGGAACGGTGGCAACTGGGGCAGCGGCGGCGGTAGCGCTGGTGCCTGGGATGAACGCCCTCAGGGAGGCGGTGGTAGTTCCCCTGCTTGGGACGCTGGCTATGCCAAAGACAACACAGACTACGATGGTATGGCCAAGAAGGCCGAGGAGAACGATACAGGCGGCCAAGGTTTTGGCTTCGGCTTCGGTGACGACGGCCCTGCGGGTAACAATGATGGCGGTAGCGGTGGTGCTGACCACGCCTGCTTCAACTGCGGCCAGCCTGGGTGAGTGCTTCAAGTAACATACCTCGATCTTCACTTATTTTCTTTCTAGTCACAACAAGGCAGATTGCCCCAATCCCCGCGTCTTCACTGGTGAGTGCCGAGTCTGCAAGAAGGAGGGCCACATGAGCAAGGACTGTCCCGATGCTGGTCCGAAGCGTTGCGGCAACTGCAAGGAGATTGGCCACTTCATTTCAGAGTGCCCCAAGCCCCTCGTCTGTCCTCGTTGTGGTGAAGCGCACATGGTGAAGGACTGCTCTGTCCCCGCAAAGTGCTACCACTGTAGTGAAGAGGGCCACCTGGGCAAGGAGTGTCCCAACCATGTTGAGCTGTGCAAGAACTGTCAGGAGCCAGGTGAGTACTATAACTGCGGATGGTCTCTAGGTCGTTTAGCTAACTCCTTGGAAGGCCATCGAGCCGCAGACTGTAAGACTCAGCGCAAGGTTGACCGCAGCCATCTCCCGGAAATCTCTGGGGCCGAGGCTTGGAAGCGTTTGGAGACAGCCATCCGTGATCGTGACCTCGATGATGTCAAGGAGGCTGTACAGGTCTACGTCAAGGCCCAGCCTGAGACGACCTATGCCGACTTGGAGGATGCCTTGCGAGCCCAGGGATACAACCTGTACCTCATTCCACGCGAGAAGCCCAACATGGCTGCTACCCTGACCAACATGGACTTCCAGGGTAACATGGATAAGAAGTATACGGTGAACTACCGCTTCGACAACCGCCCTGCTCGTCCCAATGAGCGCGAGGGCTGGCCAGCTGACCAGAAAGAGGTCATGGAGCGTCTCGCCGATGCGGGCGAGGTCGTTCCCCGCTGGGTACCAAAGTGCAACAATTGTGATGAGCTTGGTCATGTCGCCAAGGAGTGTCCGCAGGAGAAGATGGAACGCACTGATCAAGTCGTGATCAAGTGCTACAACTGCGAAGGCGAGGGCCATCGTGTTCGCGATTGTACGTGTCAATAACTTTTCCGAGCTCTCCGGAAGGTACTAATACCAGCCAGGTCCCGTCCCTCGTGTTGACAAATTTGCTTGCAAGAACTGCGGTCAGGCTGGACACAAAGTCGCGGACTGTAAGTGTACAACCTGCTTGAATCTTACTTTTGGAAGCGGACTGACCGAACTTTCTCCAGGTCCTGAGCCCAGATCTGCCAAGGATGTCGAGTGTCGGAAGTGCAACGAGAGTAAGTTTCACAGCCACATTTGGTTGATATCGTGCAAAAACTCATCTATGTCTAGTCGGCCACTTCTCCAGAGACTGCCCTCAAGGTGGTGGTATGGCATGCCGCAACTGTGGTCAAGACGGTCATAAAGCCGCGGACTGCACAGAGGCGCGTAACCTTGCGTTGGTGCAGTGCCGTAACTGTGATGAGTACGGCCACATGTCGAAGGAATGCCCGAAGCCGAAAGACAGTAAGTCGTTATTGAGACATTCTGTCCCCAACAGCATTTCCTAACCTCGGATAGTCTCTCGTGTCAAGTGCTCCAACTGCCAGGAGATGGGGCACTACAAGTCTAAGTGCACTAATCCTCTTGTTCCCGAGGACAACAATGCTGGTGGATTCGCGAGTGGCTTCGGTGGTAGCAACGACGCTGCTGCTGACTCTGGTGCTGCTGCCGATTCCGGTGGCTTTCCTGCTGGTGACTGGTAATCGGCGGTTTCGTCGACGACAAGCACTTAGGCACTTCCCGAACATTCTGGCCTGGGGGCCTTCTTTTGCTATCTGCACATTCTGGGTCACCATGATTGCGTATCTCCGCATCTTGCTGACAGCTCCCTCGCAATGATTGACAATTTTCCCAAGTTATTGATCACGTAAGGGGAGCATTACATGCCGATCGAGAAACATACGCACGCATATTGACTCGATCGTCTCAATACTGTTCTGGTTTCTAATTCGTAATTTGCTTCTCTTATGTTGTGAGTGCTGCATGTGACTCGTTTGATTGATAGACGACATTAAGGCATCTGATTGCATAAGCTCTTGTCCATCGTAGCCTTGACATCTGTATTCGAGTTTGACATTCTCGCTAACCAGATCATCCAAACACGCAGTTTATGCAGTGTAACTTTCACTTAGTCAAAGTCCCGAGGATATGAGGCACTGTGTGATACCATGGCTCCTGAACCGGTTGTGCCAGATCGACTTTTGTCCAAGGCCCTGCCTCCCTTAGCCACCTGCCGGTATCTCGCTCCAAACGACATCCGCCCAATACATGTGGCCAGAAGAGGTTCACGAATCCTGTTCGAAAGTCAGCCCAGTTCAACCACGGAGAGCTCGACGACCAGTGATTCTATACGACCAGACCACTGAAACATGCAGAAGTCTTCACTAACCTTGGTATAGTATCATGCCCCAATTATTGGAGCATCTCACGTGCTCATAAACATACCATCTTCCACCGGGTTTGAGATAGTCGTACAGCTCCCTGATGTTGTATTTGGGGTCTGGGATGGTACACAGACACAGTACAGTTACAATGCAATCGACACTGCCCTTCTGTACCTTGCCGGACCTCTCTAGGTCTTCAATGCCTACTGGCACAACTTCATACACACCTTCCAAGCCTGCGTCTCGGACTCGCTGACGCAGCTCTCCGTGGATATCCGTGTTCGGCTCTACGCCGTAGACACGTGTCACACGGCGCCGGCTTGAGCCTCGTGGCCGAGCCTCGTTCTCCCTACGGCGTCTCAGTGCATCCTCAAAGGGATTATCGTGGCCGATGCCGTTTGTCCTGCCACCAGACGGCGTTGTAGGACTCGTGGCGGTGCTCTTTGCCGGCGGGTCGAGATATCTGTCACTAAAGAGCGAAACCCACATTCCGCTGCCGGGGCCGATCTCGAGGCACGTTCCCCCGATGCCCGCGTCCGTTCCATTGACGGCCGCAACGATCACCGGATCGTCAAGGATCTGGCCTCGGTGTACTCGGCCTTCAAGAAGCGGGACGACCTTGGCCTCGCCAGTCTCTCGAACTCCCGGGCCTACCCATTTCCAAAACGTGCCGAACCATGCGGATTGGAACTTAGACCAAGATAGTAGGACGCGCCACTGCCGCTCTTTGACCAAGCGCAGAAGTGTTGGAGGGAGGCGTTTCACTGCTTCCCACATGAAGAGCCAGGGGTCCATTAGGCCCCAAAAGGCTTCGAAGAAAGTCATTGTCAACGAGCTGTGCCGGATCGGTGACGGCGGACCGGAGGGGAACACAGGATATGGGTCTAGCCGCCGGAGTAGGGAACCAAAGGCTGATGTCGCGCCGCCGAGTGTGTCCGGAGCCTGCAATCGAAGTCGTCTAGGGGGCTCGACCTCCTCACCTGGGCGACGTTTGGAGAGTAGCAACAACCTGATGACTTCGACAATATCTCCCAAGCGCGAGGACCGTACTTCTGGAGTTGCCCTCGACTCCCGCACCTCAACTACCTGCACACTCGCCCCGCTTCTACTTGTCGACTCTGTATGAACGTATAAGGGCAAGCCCATGATGTTCGAGGTTCATCATTCAATTACTTACATTTGAAAGAGCTGGGGTCCCTGTGTTATCGCACAGCCGGGGTCAGTCTTGCATTATATGCTTGCGCGATCTTCAGCTGGCCAGTTTGGGAAGGCGAGCGAGCGGACGCGCCTCTGATAGCCAATTGCACCGGAGTCCCGTGTAAGGCGAAGGATGAAGTTTCCAAAGCCACCCCAGGCAGCCAGTCAAAAGCAGGCTATGGATGAGTTGGCACTCGTGCCGTACGTACCCTGTCCTTTATGTGCAAATCGTGGGAGGTTTCTTGGGCTTGGGCTGAGGTGAGATTCCTCTGAGTTTTAGTGTCGCGGGGGCGGACAAGCACCAGCAATAGCAAGCTTGTCTAGTGGGTTAAGGGTAGATCGTAAAGGCTATCCCGGCTTACACCAGCGATACATGGCATCTATGGAAGGTATGAGGCATGATGTATTTGATGCACTGAACGAATGATATCGCGTTGTATTTCTTACGAGGACACCACGTTGCGCTCCTTCAGATTGACAATTCAGGGTATTAGTTATCTATACTACAGCTACAGAGACATACATAGGAAAATGTAATGGTTATCTAGTTTAACAAGAAACGCCCGCACATACTTTCACAACATACAAACATATTACAGGACACGACGAGTTCTTTGAACTATTTCAACGCAGCAATGACCTCGCCGGCCGCTCTCTGTCCAGCGAACACGGCGCCCTCCATGTAACCCATGAACTTTGTTGAAGTCTCGGTGCCAGCCCAGTGGATAGGTCCGATCGGCTTGGTCATCCACGGGCCCAGCGTCGACCACATCCCCGGCGCCGGGTTGGCCATGGGGCAGCCGAGACTCCATTCATCTTCCATCATCGTGTGGAAGAAGAACTTCTCCGGCTCAAGCGCCTCCTTTCCGAAGCTGGCGGCGAACTCCTCAAGCGCGATCTTCTGTCGCTTCTCCGGGCTGAAGCTGATGAACTCTCGCGCCTTGGTGCCCGCGATGAAGCCCGTCAGCTTCGGCGGGCCGTCCTCGAGCGACGGGTCGAAGGTCACCGAGACGTAGCCGAGCGGGTTTGTCGACTCGCCTCGCAAGCCCTTCTCGCGCCAGAAACGGGTCTTGTAGGTCGCGAACACCTTCATGTAGGCACCCATGGGCATGTGTGACAGGAGAGTAATCTTCTCGACCGGTAAGCGAGGGGTGAAGTCCATCTTCAGGATATGCAGAGGTGGAACGGCAAAGATGGCATTCTTTGCGTGGTATGTCCCCTTCGGCGTGGTCACTTCTACCGACTCATCGCCGTAGCGAACAGCATGCACCGGCTCCTCGAGGCGCACGACCTCGTCCGTGAGCATCTCGCGGATCTTGTTCGGGATCCGCTGCGAGCCACCCACCATGAAGTGATTCTGTGCGCCGTTCTCCACCTGGCACGCCTCGGTGAAGGAGGCGTTCGACTTGAAGAAGAACATGGCGTGCAGCAGGGACACGAGGCCCTGGTTCGTGCCCAGGATCGACTCGATGCCCAGGTCCACCATCGCCATGCCGGCCTTTGTGTACGTGATCTTGCGGAAGTACTCGTCGGCCGTCATGCGGTCGAGCTTCATGGCGTTCTTGGTCTTCCACGGCTGCTCGACATTGACCTTCTCGCAGAGGCGCTCGAACCGCCAGATGGCCTGGCCCATGTCCAGCACCTCCCAGGGGCGGAACGGCGGCAGGAAGCCCGCGTACTCCTTAGCCTTGCCGCGGTGCTGCACCACGAGCTTGCCGTCGAGTGGCGGCGTGTAGATGTCCACATCGTACGTCTTGCACAGTCCGTACATTAGCTCGTGCTTGTGGCCGATGAAGCTCGCGCCACAGTCGTAGTACGAGCCGTCCTCGAGCACCTGCGTCTTGGCGCGCCCGCCGACGCGATCCCGCGCCTCGAGGAGCAGCACCGACTTACCGGCCTCCTTCAGGCTCTTGGCCGCCGCTAGGCCCGAGTAGCCGGCGCCGACAACGATGCAGTCGTACGTGGTGGTCATTGTGGAGAGCCCGTTTGGGTTGTATCCGGGACCCTTGCTATATCCGCCCAAGTCCGTCCCTGCAACGGTTCTGTCTCAGACAGATATATACCTGCTAACGATTGTGGGAAGACACTCTGCAAAGTGACACAGGAATGATATAACGATGAGGGCGAAATTGCTGCAAGGAACGGAAAAGTGACTCAATTTAACATAGCGAAAGACTTCTGCTAAAGAAAGGGACCTCGACCTCAAGGTTTCGTGACATGGTCGTACCAGCTTATGCTAAGGAGACTAAGGATCGCGATGGGTCCCTTGGCGACTGGGGGACTCGTCTCATTATACAACTACGGCGTAGTGACATTGCTGTCAATGAGGGTGAGATCGTAAGCCGCCATCCAATCCGTGTAGCGAATCGGCGCAGCAGAATGTGACTGAGAGATGGCCCGTACACAACTGTGTATCTTGGCTGGACTGATTCTGTTCTAATCAAACTGGACGACTCCTAATCTCTACCATTGCCAAAAAGGAACCGCATTTTCCACTGCGTGATGCGATGTCAATTGGGTGCCGCCTCGGGGGGGACGGAAGGATTACAGTCGCATGAGGTGCCGGAATCCTGCGCGCATCCGAGATAGGACCTCGGACTTCAGATGACGCCCAAGTGATGGACGAAATAACAGCCTGCCTACTAGCACAAGAACATCAGCACTGATAGATTCCCTTGCTAAAGAAGGTATTTATAATCAGTCGGTTATCAGATCGGCGAGTATCAAGTATCTTGAATGCAAAATGGGATTATATTGTCATGCACCTTGGCGCCTTTGGAAAGTCGCAAGAAACTGACACTAAACTACCAAACAGGTCTCCTAGCCTCAACCCAATATTAATTGGTTGCTGTCAGGCCTAAGCCCAGACCCTAGTTGCTGACGAAGAGGCACAGTGAACAGACCATTTTTACCGGTAAGCTTTATTAAGACATATGTTCAGTGCCACCCTGGATGAAAATCATCAGGATGAGCGGTATCATCAGCTGGCTTCCTGGCTTATCCTGACACGCACATGCAGAGCAGTCCTCTCTATGTGCCAAACCTAACACCTAATATCAAGCCCCCCTGCTGAGCAGTTGCTATCAATGGACCACAGGGTTGCGTCCGTAGTTTGTACATGTTCCTTAATACCCAACACTGTCAAATCCGAGCAGGAATCAACGCCTTTTGATCATAGCTCATACCCATAACGCCTTGCAAAGAAAACAATCGAAGTGATAAAAAGGAAACAAAACAAAGACGATGAGTACTGAAAAGAGGGGCAAGTAGAGAGCCACTCGGTCCAGATTGAAGCGAAGTAAATGGAGTTTCTAGACGCCAGTATCTGAAACCCCTCTTCAGTCGTCATCTAGGAGCTCAATTACTTCGGCATTCTGGGGTTTTCCAATTAGCATAGACGATGTCCTTCTTGGTACGGCTGTCACTCGTTTACCGTCTCTTTCATCGTCGCTAGAGTCGTCGTCATCGTCGGTCGGATCGATCTCGGGTCGCCATTGGCAGTTAGGAGCGACGAGTATCGCCTTAACACCTAACTTTCCCTCCTGCTCCAGGCGCCGTCGAACATTGAGAAGGAAGCTATCGATACGTAGACTGTCCGGCCGTGCATCTTTGTCGCAAATGGGACACTTCCACTTGTCTGCATGAGAAGGTTCCTTTGCCTTGAGGCATTTACAGCCAGCATTGTCACCGTGGGAACACTTGCTACTCGGCTTAGACGGCGGCCGCGTTTGAAGCCAGTTCTCAAGGTCAAAGCATTCCAGATGCGTACAATTTACACCCCGAACAGGGGTAGTAAATATGCTGAAGCTCCAAGGGTCGGCAAGAGTGATTTTGAGATCCTGATTCGCAATCTCAATGTCGTCATCAGATGGAGCAGCCTGAAGCCGCGACCTGATCTTTTCTAAGGTATCTTCCATCTTAAGCGCACCGCGTCTCCAGATATTTTCGACTGTTTTTGAATGGCTGAGGCATTGTACAACATCGATAGCTATGAAGTAGTGGCTTCCTTTCTGCGCCTTAGGTAGACTTGCAGCAATGCGAAGTAAATTCTTTCCGGGTTGGAGCAGCAAGGTAAGCTCTATAGGAAGATCTTTGCCATTATGTGGTTTGCGTCTCACGGTTAAGGCTTGATCATTCAACTTCATCCAAATGCTCTTGGGCCATGAGACATCGAGCGTAACCCAGTCGGACTCAGCGATCCCAGTTTGCACGGCGTTCAGCTTACAACACCGAAGTCGGTAACGTAAGGAGCCATTGAAATACTCAGAAGCTGGCACTACGCTCCCTGGTATCTTTCGCGGTCTGCAAAACAACGCGAAGTCCGCCTCACTGATTTCGAATTCCAGGTTTTGAAGATACAAATCCGGATCAAGACGCACTGGCGGCATAACAAGGCCCTTCACAGCCTGGTAATATCGCTCCTGACTATTTTCTCCGCCACGTCTTACTCTTGCTGGGCTCAACACGTCGGCCTGGTGTAATGACATCATGAGCGACTTTCGATCGTTCGGACTGCTCGCATGCTCATTTCGCGGGATCTCGAAACCTCGCGGTGGCAGTAGCTGACCTTGATTTCCGGTCGATACCGTTGCAGGCACAGGTTGTTGTGTGGCTTGGCGTGTACTTGTTTGCATGTGTGGCTGTACCATGGGAAATGCCTGCCCGGTATAAGGTGGCCTGGGAGAGGAAACGACAGGAGTCGTTTGAAAGGTACCATTTTGGGGCGCCATTGTCGTCCAAGGCACGGCAGTTGCCCCCGGCATTGCAAAAGTCGGGGATCCTTGTCCGGGATGCCCAGCATAGACCTGATACTGAGTATTGAATTGTGCGTTCTGGGCGTTCTGGTATTGATATACATTCGTTTCGCGTTGTGGTTGCGGGCTTCCATGTGATATTGACATTGGTGATGTCAAAGAAGGTGAAGTTTGACCTTGGGAGCTCTGAAGAACTAAAGCCCCCGGGACTCTAGGGTACTGGTTCAATGGCAACAAATCTGATTGCTGGACAGAGGGGTTGTGTGTGAAGCCTGGAGATATTACTGTAGGTGACGCGACGAAGCCTGGGGTGCCTGCCATTCGCGGCTGGTAAGAACCATGGTTGATTGACTGAGCCTGGTTCTGTTGGGCCATCGCCTGCCTCATCCAATATTCCTCTTTTCGTCGGAGTTCTTGTTGCTGTTGTCGAATTGTTTGTTGCTGTTGCTCGGGCGGTCCTTGAGGAAGCAGATAAGGGCTGGGTCCCGAATTCCAGGTTGGAGATGGCTGTCCTCCAGAAATCTGGCGAGTTGACTCTGTTGGTCGAAACATTTGAACAATCCTCTTATATCCACTAATTAATGAATCGTTGACACTTTGCCAGTCTTGCCCATACAGATCATATGGAACATCGATGAAGTCACCGTTGGGCGTCATGCGCGCGGCTTGGTCTCTTCTGAAAAGTTGATCTATTTCGATGCCGAGCGGCCCATCGCGGACACAAAGCCTTCTCCTAGAGGCAGTGAATAAAATAGTTTGTAGGACTATCGATGGGCACGGTATTCTCTTGAGAAGTTCATCTACAAGATAAGGATACCCCCTCTTGAACGATTCGTTCACAAGCGCGGGCCACCTCTCTGGTAAGCTTTGTAGGAATGCAGTGACCCGGGGGGCAGCTGTTTGATAATAGCTGGGGAAGCCGAGCAGCGTTCCGATGGGGCAAGGAAATTCGGCGAAATACCGCAGATTCATCGTTGAAATGTTATCGTTCCCTTTAAGAACGGTTTCCATTATCTTGAATCCGGCATCAGCCACATTAGGATGAGAGCTGACGTAGGTGTAGATCTCTGTACTGTTCTCCAGTTTGTTCACAGACCAGAGACAGAATAGCTGGTGAAAGGTGAGATAAAAGGTGTCAATTTTCCCGCAAGCATCCCTAAGAATTTGTATACGCGCACGTTCAATGTCAGTAAGACTGTGCTGTCCGGCGTAAGAATCTAACTGGACTGCGAGATCGCCCAGTTTTACAGCGTTTGAAGTCGGATTACTAAAGATATATTAGCGGTGCGCAATTCGCTCAGCACACGAAACATACCTAATCTTCCTCCTCTTCGCAGAAGGCTCCGCTGCAGCGGGGCCTTGAGGTAGAGTATTCCAAACTTGCGAGCTTGTTGTTCCCAAACTCGGCGACTGTACATTGCTCGGCCATACTGTAGTACTCGGGGTTGATTGGCTGGTATTTCTCATTTGAGGACTTTGAAGAGAAGCCATAGGGTGAACTAGTCGACCAGACGAGACTAACGGAGGAGGAGCTCCAGCGGGAGCATTTTGCTGATTCTCGACAATTTGTGTTGGTCTATTGACGAGGTTACTGTTGACTGGAAAATTTGCACCATATTGCCGGCTATCCACCTGGTCGAGCTGTGCCTCGTGGACGAACCTGGCTTCTGTGACAGGCATCCTACCAGTCGCCCTGGGGTCCATGGAGGACAGGTCTTGCGCCCGGTGATCAGGCAAGACTGCACTCTGCGGATTAGGACTGTCCTGAACATTCGATACAGCGGGACTCGGTTCGTCGCTTGGCGCCGGAGAAGGCAAAACAGTCGCAGAAGCCCTATCATAAGCCCTAGATCAGTAGATACTCATTGTAGCAGAAGATTGCTGTGCGCGGCTTTGATTTCTTGAAGATGCAAAGACCGCAAACACCTTTGCGACAAGCGGTACAGCCTTGCCTTGTACGGGAAATAACGACAGTAAGAAAAGCTAAGCTTACTGGGAGGGAACTTGTTGGAAATGCTGGCGCACGGGCTTGGGGCGAGGGGTCGGCTTGACAGGAGTCGCATTCGACATCCATGATGGCTGCCTCCCCCCTATGAAGGCGTTGACGGTCGAGTTTGACGTAGCAACCTCGTAGGCGGCGGTTGGTTGGTATGGTCTTCTGGTCTTGGAAGGCTGTGGCATGGCGACGCTAGCTAATCACGATGATGGGCGCGCATTC